GCGGCAGCAGCAGCGGCCGCCGCCGCCGCCGAAGAGGAGCCGCCGTTCCGGGAGGCCCCCGACACGCCAAAGCCGGAGAGGCTGGAGCCCACGACGTTGCAGCTGCCGGAGGAGGACGACGAGGAGCGTTTCCAGGGGTGGAAGCCTTTCCCGAAGGAGGAAGAGCTGTCCGAGAGGGAGGAGGGAGATGGACTGGGGCTGCCGATCTTATTACAGGTAGCAGCCAGCATGGCCAGAGGAGTGGATCCCAACCTCGGTTCTTCCTGCGGGAAGGAGAGGAGGTGGGGGAGGGGTGGTGGGCAAAGGGCCGGCGGGGGAGGGAGGGAAGAGACGAGCATTAGTCCGGCAGTAGCCTCCACGACGCCCCGCTGCACCCCATCTCTCGCTGCGGCGCCGCCACCACTCACCTGGCGCCCCCAACAGCCCCGGCGCCCGGCGGCTTCCTACTCTACGGGAGGGGACAAGTTGGGCTGCCGGCGTCTGACTCCGCAGCAAAGCGCCACGCTAAAGAAGAGTTTGACAAGTATTCTCACCTAAAACAACACTCTTGCGCACAGAAGGCCCCAGACACTTCGAAGCAAACAAGCAAAAAGTCCAGATTGGGGAGGAAGGAAGTTTCCTTGGCCGAGAAGCATGGGGCGAAAGCATTTGGATTGCTTTTAAGAGCGCTTCCCCTGTAATCCAGAGAGAGCTTTGAAAAATCCTGTTCCGGTCCCCCAGAAACCCATCCCGGGTCGTTTCTCCCAGGCCAAAAGAGATCAATCTGGAAGGCTCACTCGCTCTTCCTGCTTTTCTTTCTTTTCTTTTTTTTAAAAGTCTATCTACAATAGTAAAAAGGAGTTCAACATACCTGCAAGACAAGGCGGGCTGCGATTTTTTTTTTTTTTTTTTTTTTTTTTTTTTTTTTTTTTAAGGGGAAGGAGGTGAATCTGTAATTTGGCCAGAGGAAAACCTTGCTCTCTACCCCCGAGACGTCGCCTGGAAAGTGGGCTGGGCGCAGGTCTCCCAGGCAGGGAGCAGCCAGGCGCGGCGAGGTGGCTCGGCTAAATGCCCCTCCAGCCTTTTCCTGCGCTGAAAAAAAGTGGCTCGGCCCCCCTCTCCCCCTTTCTTTTCTCCAAACTCACTTGTATTTAAAGAAAAAAAAAAAGCCCTCTATAGAGAGACTGATAGCCCGTGGCCTGGCCGGGGCGACTTTAACCCCCTACGATCGGCAATAAAAGGAAACTAATTAAACCAGCAAGAGAAAATCCTGAGACTCACCCCTAGAAGTGAAGTTGCCATCACACAAAAGTGCCCTCCTCCTCTCAGAGGATCTTTTTTATATTGATAAATCAGAGGCAGTGTTTTTTTTAGAGGTGTGCAATACAATGATCAGTTCCGCCCATTCCACCACAATTGTAGCTCCCTCTCCGGCTTTGAAGTGCCGCGGAGGCGCAGCCAGCCAATCTGCGGGCTCGCCCGGCCGCGCCGCGCGCGCGCCGTGAGGTCATCGGCGCCGCCGGTGGGGAGGGTGGCAAAGGAGGGGGGTCGCGCCGCGTGTGTTGCGAAGTGCGTGCGTGTGTGTGCGCGCGCTTGTGTGTGTAACAATGCAACTGAGCATTGAGTAAGACCTAGCCAGGAACCAGGGGACAGTGCAGAGATGGGGAAGGGGCTGCCATTGTGACAGTGCAACAGAGACAAGGTGCAGGGGGAAGGAGAGCGCGCAGGGAAAGAGGGTGTTGTGTGTGCTGTGAAACTGCGTGTGCGACACGGGGTGCGTAGAGGGACCGAGCAAGAAAGTATGGAAGAAGGTTGCGAGTGCACGCGCGTGTAACTGAGTGCGACAAACCTGAAAGAGGAAGAGGGTCGCCGCGGTAAAGCTGGAGCCGGGAGAGGAGGGATGTGTGTTTGGTGTGGGTGGAGAAGGAGGGGTGCGAATGTGTGCGCTTGTGCGAGAGAGGAGGGAGGGTGCGTGCGCGCGCTTATGTGTGTGTGCGCGTTCGTGTGTGTGTGCGCGCGCGCACACCAAAGCTGGGGGTGGGGAATAGAAACAAGACAATAAAGTGTTCGTGCGCAAGAGGGAGATTGGCGATTGGAAGAAACTGACTGCGAAGTTGAGTGAGGCTGGGTAAATAAATATTCGCAAATGCTACCACTGTCACCAACTTCCTGTGGTTCCCTTTAAAATCTTGAGGGGCTGTTGTTCTTTTTTTTGTTTTGGGGGGTTTTTGTCTTAACTTCTCATACTCTCACATTTTGGTAGAAAAGAAATACTGAACCTTTGCCTTCGTAGCTTTCCAGCTAAATAGGGAAAAGACTGGAAGTCGGAGAGGTTTTTTTGAAGGGACTGGGGCCTGGGGCGGGGGGGGGGTGCGTGTGCGCGCCCGCACCCTTAAATTGTTACTTTGATGTGATGGCGCTTTCCCTCCCTTCCCTTTTCTTTTTTCTGAGGTAGGCTTCTGTCTTGGAAGTGCACGTCTCACTCTAGGAGAGGAGGTGTGTTTGTCCCTCGGTGTTGAGTAAATTTCAATTCAAAAGGGTTAGAGAAAGGTTTAAGAGAGGGTTATTTTTACTGTGAGAAAGTGGGGAGTGTGCTACAGAATTTAGAAGTGTTCACCGGAAACCCTACTGCCTCTTGAGGGGAAAAAAATCAGGCTTTGATTCCAATCTGTGGGTTCTATTTATGCAAAAACAGACACAAGTTTTTGATAAAGCTTGGACAGTACTTGCGGAGGCGTCTCTGTTTAATAGTGTCTGGGCCACAGATCTACTAATATGTCCATGTTAATATATAAACCCAGTGGAAATGTGGGTTTTAGTTACTTGTTTACCATTTGTGTTATTAGGTGCCTTCAAATGTAATTACAATTTCCTTGCGACTCTAAGGCAACTTCCTAAACCACAGGAAGTACACCAGTGTAGCAAAAAAGTTCAGAGCCCTTGGAACCCTACTAAGTATTCATGTTTCTTAAGCCACAGTAATTCGTATTTTTAAGCATCTACAAATGCTCTCAGAAGTCTACTTTTAAGCTAGAATTGATTAAAAAGTGACTGGATGGGAGAACTGTTTTGTTCTGACTAGAGAAACAGCCTTACTGTATTGTTGCTGTTGAACTCTCCTCAAGGATACCAAAGCTACTGGGGTTGTCAAAAGAATCCTCCCAGGTTTACTGAATTCCAAAGTCAGGTTGTTTCTTTGGTGTAAATTTCACTGAGCAGAGTTGAGGCTGTTTGTGGAATGAAAGTTGGGATTCCTGACTTCTTTTTAATTTGTGGAGATATTGACTGTACCTCATATCTATTGATTAAGGGGGTAAGGTGCGCACTCAAACTTTAAAGTAAGTGTGAAGTAAATTAATGAACTGCTTTCTTTTTCTGAAGGCTGACGCTTACCATAAATGTCGTGCTTCTCCCTGGAAGCCGCTCTGAATGATTTCAGCGCGTTGAGAAGGCGTGACAGGCCAGCCCAGAAGGAGGAAGGGGTGGGGGAAGGAGGGAACTCCGTTTAACAAATAAAAGAGAATTAACTTCATTGCTTGGGTATCTTTCTATAATAATATTCATTTTAAGGACCTAATATACAGTTGCTCAAATTTGGGGTTTAATTCTAATCAATACTGTCACCCTTGAAGGTGGAGAAAAAAGCTTTGAAGGAAGACTCACTCCCTTGTATGAATAGTTGTTTTATCTTTTTATCCTATCTTCTAGAAGGAAGAGAGGCAGGACTATTAAAATCTTAAATGCTGATTCTGAGAGTAAACAGAGGTGTTAACCACTGTTTCCTCAAAAATGCCAGGAATTAGAAAAACTCAGCATTATGTGACTGCAATTCTGAGCAACCTAATTCTAAGATTTTTCATTTGTGTAAATTCACCTTAGAATCACGTGTCATTCTTCTTATGACAGTGAGTCACAGTGTTGTGCATTTAATGAAAATATTGAATTTTTCAATTTATGTGAGGTTGGCTTATAGCATTTGGAGATTTGCAAAGGTTTTTTATGTGCAGATACATCTATAGATATAGATATAGAGATAGATGTGTATTCCATTTAGTCCCATTATAAAACCGAGGTGTTTATTTCATAGTAGCATTGGCCAAAGAACTTTTTTCTCCTACTATTCTCCTTCTGTGGACCCCCAAGACATACTTAGTTAAGGTTGTGCCATGAGATATAAAGCAGCAGAATTAAAAGGAAGGACAAAGAGAATGATATAATGGACCCCAAATTAAAGCAGCCATAATCTTGCTTTCCATTTAAATAAAACTAGTCTCAAGGCAGCACTTTCTCCACTTGGGAGAAGTGATCACATCACGTTTGAATCCTGTCCCACCAGAAAGAACAACTGTAGTCTCTGGCAAATACAGCCAACCTGGCTAAGCATTTTAGGGTAGAGTTCAATTTACTTTCTATATCTTGATCATTATTCTTGAATATCATATCACGGTAATAAAGTTTGGGAGAGGAAGGGAAAGGGAAATAGCAGATAGGGTTTCTAATATCAATTAAAAGTTTCCCCCACCCCATATGAAGTTTGACGTGCTGGCAAGGAAAGGGGTAGATGGATATTCTGCTGTTTCTTGCAAACCTGTGGGATCCACTATCAATAAAGCTAAAATCTATTAGCATTCTGTATGCATCTGCAGCATAAATTTCATTTGAATTTCAAATTTAATAAACCAGGAGGTTTTTAATCATCCCTGGTTTTATTTGTTTGATATTAACATGCTTATTGACCGGGTCTGGTGACCAGTTTGATCATTACAGGACAGCAAAAAGTTAATTAAAACGACCACAGCCCCTTAATCATATCATCTGTCTCATCCATGTCGCTCTCTTTATTACCGGTGATGATGGATAGTCTCCCAGATTAATTTCTCTGTTTCTTCGATTTGGACAACAGCTTTTGGGACCTAATTTACATCCTGGGAACAACTTGCTCAAGTATATCTAACACCTTGCAGCTACAATATACATCAAGATCTCCTTAGAGCGGGAGAAGGGGAGCTTTTTTTGCAGGCGGGTTTGAAGAATAATCAGTGCTCAGATCTGGAGCTCCTACACATCCGCAGCCAAAAACACCAGAAGGTTCTAAGAGCAAATCGGAGGTCTGGATCCTTGCTTTTCCTTTTGGGAGTGTAGGAGCGAGATATGCCTCCGCTGTTTGGTTAGTAGATTAAAATGTGTAGATACAGCGAAAAGTAAATAAAGCCATTTGTAACCATTAGATACAATTAGGGATTTATAGTCGAAAGCATCAAAGTTATCCAGGCTTTCAAGTGTCTACACCAAATTCAAGTAATACATCAATACCAAATATAATCTTAAACGTTCAGTGTGGGCCGAGACACACAGCGCTAAAGAAGGACGCCTAATGGGAAAAATCGCTCACGAACTGCCGTGCATACCTCTGCGGGGTACGCACAACCCGGCTCTTAACGTCTCCGTTTCCGGAGCTTTGACAGGGACACGCACGGTCTGCAAGCTGACCCGAGGGTGCCCGCCTGCACCCAGTGAATGCGGTACAAGCGGCGAGTCCCTGGCAGGAGCCTCTCCCCAGATGGGAAGACGGCCCCAGCGTGTGGGCACCGAGCGCGCGGACTCGTCGCCTGCTAAATAAAGCATAAAGAGGAACGGCTAGCGAGCTGAGCGCCGCTGGCGGCTCCCTAGAGGAACGGGCTGGCCAGGTTGTGGGGAGGTTTCCTGGTCAGTACCTCTCTGGTCAAAGTTACTTTCCTGTTAAAAAGAAAACCTGGCTAGGCTTGGACCTGTGGATTCCTGAGGGGTGCCCCTCTGTGGTCCATCTCTGCCTTCGGGTGGCTTTACGAAAAAGTTGCCTAACATTTCCCGGGAAGGGAGGTAATAAAAGCCCCTCGCTGGTGGCAGATTGTGGAGCCGTAGGTGGGAAGGGATCAGTCGGCGAGAGCTGAGAGAGGGCTGTATGTTCCTGATTGGAAAATAGGAACTTCCACGCTGAACAATAGCCCCTATTAGTGAGGTTATTCGGTTTGAAACTGTCCGGCCACATTTACAACCGAGTCCTTACTTTCCTGGTACTGCTTAATTGGATGCATTTGTTGACCCCAGCAAAGCAATAAGTGACTCTGGATCTACTTGCTTAAGAGCTCCTAGTGGATGCAAAGCAATGCCTTGGTGAATCCTAGTAAATGGAACAGAGCGTCTCTTTCTTTCTTTTTCTTTACTGACACGATATTTTTCTTCCATTTCTCCCTGATATTTACTTTTTTTCTTCTCTGTCACTTCAAACATTCAAAAGTTAGAGTTTAAAAGAGATTCACCCACGTAATCTATTATCCTGAGCTTTGATTTTTCTTAGTTGGGCTCTTCTAATGGTATATAAGGATAAGGAGGATTTTTCTCATATATCAAACAGTCATCTTAATAGGAGATAAGTTATAAATAGAAAAAAATGAAGATATTACAAAAATGAGCATTTGAAGTCTCCCATCTATATGTTTAGA